TACCGTCGACTGATTGAGGGATTGTTGGTGTACATGAGACTCGAGAAGAGATCTGCGTCTGAGTAAACATCTCCATCAGCTTCAGCTGTTGCTTGAACAATTCTTCTAATTTAACTGGATCCATAACTAGTCAGCAACTTGTTTGCAAAATCTCCGTCGCCAAATTGTTATAACGCGAAATACAGCGTATTGCGATAGGACTACGCGAAATTCTACCGGTTGACCAAATTCAGATATCCTAGTTCGACCCCAATACTGTTTCCCAACTCCAATAAATCAGAACACAGCCGTTAAATGAGAATTGTTTATGGGGTCAGCAGCGGAACAACAATGGTTTACAGATAAGGCATATTTATACAGTTACGATGACTACTAACAGTAACCAATGGAAAGGAAGGACACGTAAAGGTTATAATTAGGACGACTCAAAATTGACCAATAGGGAAACGACACATGAAAGTCATAGTTAGGACACTGTAAATAATGGCCAATAGGAAATAACATGCGAATTATGTGAAGAGTCAGGAAACATACCATTTTACATTCGAGATAATTTTTGGGATATTCTTGTGAATATCCTAACAGTTTTAACTCAGCTGTCGAAAAATTTTTTTGAAACGGAGAAGCTCACGCGTTTGGAATCGCAATCATAAACTGTTCATATATGAACGCCGTAAGTTTATCGAATAAAATGGATGCGCTACATAAACTCATTAATACTAACAATATTCATCTGAAAGGATTATCTGAAACTTGGATATCTTTCGATTTACGGATCAGGAGCTAGCGATACCCAGGATGCATTTGTTTCGCAATGACAGAAAAACAGGAACTGGAGTAGCCTTATATTTACGATCGTGCCTGGAGGCAAATCAATTGCATAACCAAGAGATCATCAGTCTTGATGAATCCTTATGGTGCTCAGTAGGATTGTCTACTACCTTGAGGTGTCCAGTTGGAGTCATCTACAGGAAGCCTACTGCTGGCATCGAGTACGACAATCGTACGCTGGAAGGATTATCCCGCTCTAATCGTCTCAGATACATTCATATCCTGATTCTAAGAGATCTCAATTTCCTAAAGTCAACTTGCTAAACATGCGTACATTAGAGGTGGAAACTCTACCGGAGCTCGGTTCTTCAAGTTCATTACGGATCTGAGATCATTCGAAAATATGAAGTCGACAACTCGTTGGAGAAACAGTCAGACGCCGTCGCGTTTAGACTAGGTATTTGCAAACGAAGAATTCCTAATTGACAAGCAAACAATTCTGGCCTCTCTAGGGAAAAGCGATCACGCCGTCAAAACTGAGATAAGACATTCCACCAAAAACAGGCGCTGGAGTTTAAAACAGTCGAATGTGTCAGGTTTACAGTATAATCTACAACAGGTGCGCTATAACGTGTGGATGTGTGATGTGCGTACGCCCTGGTTGATATATGAACGTGCTGTCTTGAGTACTTATCAGTCCTGCTATCTGCCTAGCCTAGCTAGTTAAGTCCAGAACACCAATAACAGCCTCTGCAATATAAATAATTATTCACAAACATACTAAGTTTATTTACCAATCAAACAGACCACATCGTACCATAAAATAGAAAATAAAATTTGTACATTATTTAGCCAAATGTGGCTGTGAATATGGGGAACAGTAATCAATAGACTGAGGATAACTAAAGAATGGCATATTGTATAGTTCATAGGCCAAAATAAAGCTTAGGATAAGAGGAACACGAATACGAATAGTTTAGTTACTTAACAATTATACAATAGGATATATAAATATCACATTGATCCATAAATAGTCCTCGAATTTACCATTCATAATTTTCCACGGGATACAACAAGGTGGATAAGGAAATTCACCCTCAACTTGATGTGGATCCTCATTGGGATTTCTTACTCCAGACCATGTTACGTGCTACAAAACGGTCTGTTATTCAAATGGTCCCCAAAATCTACAAGCGACGGCACTCTTCTTTTGCTAAGCCTCAAGAGGTACTGTTGGGTGGGCAATACAAACATATAAGGAATACATGCACAAAAACAGTGAGAGGAGACATGCTTTATTACCAGATAAAGTCTATTTATAAATTTCTCTCCAATCCGAAAATTTAATCTCGCTATGCAGCCTCTCTTCGACAAGCCAAAGCTTAAGTTCCTCAACTGCTAGATCCTAATAGCCCGACCAATAAGGGCGATAACACCGCTTACCTCCTGAGTGAACAATAACCTCGGGCATTTCAACCGTCTCACATCAACTATACTGATGAAAGCTGTATCTGCAACTGCACAGGATTTTCTGAAGTGAGCCTCAGCGCTGACTTGGTATTCCGGAAACTGCAGCACCTAAGAAAAGACATTTGTCCTGGACCGGATATCGTTCATTCTGCTATACTGAGGGAAGCACCTTCAATCTTGGCAACACCGCTCAGCGTGATGTTCTCACAAGCGATAAGACGAGGCACATTACTGGAAAGTTGGATGGTGGCTCAAATCATGCCAATTTTCGAAGGAGGTCGACGCAAGGAACCTCCAAGACACCCACAGGTGTCTCTTCTCTCTGTACTCTCAAAAATTATGAAGTCCCTGATATGCGACGGCATACACGACTATTTATTGTCCTTAAACTTCTTTTTACCCGACAACACGGTTTCAGAAGGGTCATTCTTGCAATACCAACCTGCTGACTGCGGTGGACAGATGAACAACCATCCTTGATCTCAAGGGGTAGTTTGACATCATTTACCTTGACTTCTCAAAAGCCTTTATTAGGGTCAACCAAATATGTTTTATCAATAAGCTCAAACGACTAGGTATCGACTCACTTTTAATTGATTGGGGGGTCCCTTAGAGTTCAATACCAGAGCCTCTTCTTTTCTTGATTTCTATAAACAATCTTACACAACAGCTACCCTCAGATTTATTAATTTTTGCTGGTGATGTGAAACTCTGGATAGAAGTGTGCAACCAAGAGGATATACTGGCGCTTCAGGAGAATCTGACTCAAAGTCAAAGTTGAGCGGATGACGATGGACCTAGCCTTAACATTTCAAAGTGTACAGTAGTCCATGTGAGACATGTTGCAAACTACAGTTCTGTTGAAGTATCCCGAATTGTATAAAATTTAGGAGCTCTGGTACCCTACAATTTGAAGTCTTGCGATAATTGTGACAGAAATTCCTTTCAAGGAAACTTTGTACTGGTAACATTGAAAAGCATATTTGGCCATTTTGACGGAAGGACTTTCGACATAATCTACAAAAGTATCATTCGTCCGCATTTAGAACACAGAAATAGTATTTCCCCCCTCACTTCAAAAGGATAAGGCCACTCTGGAAGGTATCAAACGGCGAACCGTGAAATCAGTTCAAAAGATCAAATTCAGGCCTTATTAAGAGGAAACTTCACGTATTCTTAGGGATAAAGGAAAATGTCTTGCTATGATTTAGTAATTTCTATCGTTAATATACCTGGGCCCCTGGCAGGAGGTAATGGTGATCCACCGCTACGAGACGCACGAAGACTGGTAAGCAAAAGCTTCTTCTATTGCATCCAAAATAATTTGAACAATCTGAACCATTTTGCTCTTTTTGAGCATGCTTGAGGTTTGGACGAGCGCGCTCAGTTCTTTGGCGCTACAACATATATGTTGCTTGGTCTGTGTAAGGTAAGTTGTAATCCAAATGTATAAAATTTAAACAAATAGTTACTTTAAATGTTACGGCATATTTCATTATGTATATTGATCATATCTCTCTTGATACTTTGTGGTTAATTATAGGACTAACACAGGTCAACCAGCCTCCTGTCCCATCCAAAGCCCTTTTACGAGGTGAAATTCGTTTAACTGTACTTCAATTACTTAGTGATTATGTATAACACTTTTCAGCGGTAATATTTAGATGTAAATAATCACAGAGAATGTTTCCTCGTAAACATTTGCAAACCCGTTTGGTGTAACGATTGAGTTATAACTCAATCGTTACAACACTGAAATATGCCATAACATTTAAAGTAACTATTTGCCTAAATTTGTTTATTTCCCAGTAGTAATCCACATTCTGGTTTTGAACTTGTACGGTTTTTTTGAGGAAGTTTTAGTTGTCTGCAATTATCTTGTATAATATGCGAATGATAACCTGCACCACTTTTCTAAAGAATGCTTGTCTCTAACGTGTTCGGGAGCATCTTTATCATGCTTAAATTCGTCTTTCTAGTCCTTGTTTTTGGATTTCAACTCGTAGAATGTTGGGTTGGTGGTACAACTTCTTAGCCCATGTAAAAATGACTTTTCGGACGCATTTTCTATGCTTTTCTTTAAGTAATAACGTCAACTCCCTAGCAAGTACAACCAAAGTCACAAATTTCTGATAATTGGTTCATCATTACAATGCATGTTAGGTCAATAGCTTTTCCTACAGTAACATATACTTTTCAATCAGTATAAGTTAAACCAAATGCGGAACTCTCATGTAGTCGTGTTAACTAGTATATTTCTCTTTCATCACATTAATTGATTAATAATCTAGTGATATGATAACCTCTAATCATTATAACTGTTCTTTAGGATAAAGCACTAAAGACATTTAATTGGACTGTGGGTCTGATAGAGTTGCAGCAAATGACTGATCTGGCTGTTCGTGCCAGGCTTTACCTGGGAAGTGTAATCGTTCTTGAAAATCAGAATTCAATAACGAAGCCCTCTAGTCTTTAGTGCCCTGTCGGAAGGTGGGTCATTAGACGTACAAATATAAACTAAATAAGTGTTTTGAGTTACAAAATATTGTCATATTACGGAATCAGGTTTCATGTTGTTTCTTATTTGCTTGATCAGTATTCAGACATTCACAAACTTTCTCAGCGACTCTATATCTCATTCATTTCGATGTAACATAGCTCATCAAACTAACGTCTTGATTTTGTAACGAAGCTAATTTCTGTCTTAAATATCCCTAGGCTTCTTTACATTTATCCATCTAATTAAACTATGAAAAGGAATGGATACCAAGGGATTGGAGAATTTTTTTAGCGATCCTATGGTTTCAGCTCATATTGAATCGTTCATGGATGCTCATTGTTCTAGTAATTATAAAACTTGATCAAATACGCTTTTAACATTAAAATAATAACAGTATTCACATGTGAAAAAGAAATTTATTCTGAACATTATGTAACACACAAAGAATTTTCAGAAATGGTAAGTAAAAATAGACAGTGTCCTATATTTCACAATTCTTTTTTGCATATATTTTTGTTTATTGAGCTAGTTGTGTATGCATACTTATTGACTAACTCACTACTGTTTGTCTCTTTCAAATGTATATTATGATTGGATACATCGTGAGAGGCTAGATAAACCACGACTAGCTATAGGAAATATGAGATCTGGTTCAAAGCTGATTCAGGTCAGGTTACCACACAATCGGCAATACGAAATTTATTAAGGTGGATAGCGGTGTTGTTAAATTAGAGATTTCATGTAGAGGAAATGATTTTAAAATATGGGGTCAGTTTGCGGCTTTAGAAGTATGAAGGTTTCGAAACCGACCATGTGGACTATGAAGAATGAATATACCTGCTCTACTGAAGCTGATTTCGAACTATTTCACCAGTCTTCAACTATTGATCACGATTATGTTACTGGTCGCAACATAGTAGCTTGCACCTTGCAAAATGACTCAGACCAACAATCAGTGATTTAATAACCTGTTCGGTGGTTTGATTGTTTCTGGCTTTTCTCCAAACAGCATCGGTGCGTTTAGAATTATTCGCTTAACTGCTCTACCATTCGTGAAATTTTTTTAAAAATCTCTATGGTCGTATAGTAGTAACCTTCAGATTTCAGCCACTTTCAAAAGAAGTAGTACAAAGTGAACTGTTTTTAAATATACTCATCTTTTGATAAGCAAACTAATACTTATCCTACGCTACAGGTACATCAAATTTGCAAAACAAAAACGTTTTTTGCATTCGTGCCTAGATTTTCCGAACTGGTCAGGTCCTATGGTACTTCCAAAATAATTGAATTGATCTGTATATTCACCTGCTGCGATTCTTAGCGTTATAACAGGTTAAGAGGTAAATCTCACATTCGAACTCACCTCTTGTTTACAGAAGAAATTTGGATGAAACGACATTGTTTCTATAAGCGGAGTATTTTCATGTACTAATGTAATTTTAGTCTGGTCTTGCACAAGACGAAAGCAGTTTTTAGGATTTCATTTTTTATAATTATCTGCTTAGTACTAACCAGTGTTGATATGAACTTCCTGGCGTCCTAATAGGGATTTGTAACATGTTGAGTTTACCAATTTAAAAATAAAACAGTCATTTATCTTTCATAATTATGTTAAAATAATATACCATTCTGTTAGTCTTTTTATTTCTGGCATGTGTAAATAAAAACCTTAGAAGTATAATCTTGACCTGGTAGATAAATGAATTTCCTTTAGCTATCTTTGCTTATAAAAATGTTTTGAGAATAAAAACTATTGTAACGCAAATTATTTCTTGATCACAAATCTGATTATTTGTTAACGAACATAAGCTAACTTCCGTATTTATGAATGTATATAATTTTTTAGCTACTCTAAAAAATAAGGCATTATTGTGTAGTTCTCTCTTTACCATTTATCAGCTGTCGAGGTTACGTAGTAATCTAAGGGGGTAAAAGTCTTGTGTGTATCCAGTATTATGTGTACCATACTGTACATTGAAATTGCATAACAGTTACAGTATTTGACTTTGAGCCACACACTCTAGATGTAGAATCTAGTAAAGCTACCTGGTTGTTCAAACCGAACTAGATGAATTGTGATTTGAACCTGAAACGTAGCAGCTGAAATCTGAACGCCTTAACCAATAAGCTACTAGGTCACAGTTAAGCTATATCATTATATCAATATTAGACATCATTTTGTTTCAATCCTTCCTTATTCTTTAGATGAAAAGTCTGCTAAATAGTTCATCCATCCATTACAATCAAATTCAGGAAATATATACCACTTATAAAATAACTGAAGATGATCCTTGTTTTAGTTCAATCTCTTATATAATTGCATCATGGAATTTTGAATTATTTTATCAATTAATGACTTTGGTTAATGTTGATTTACAATTGGAAGCATTACATTATATTCAACAGAAGTATGGTAATCAATTTATGTATGTATACATTTTAAATAGTTTCTTTTATCTGAAGATAATAGATATCATGATCTTTCTTATTATCATTGCTACTAGATTTATTTCGATTCATTTACTATTCAATCTTGCTAATTTCATCTTGTCATACAAATTTAGCATGTCGACTTTAACCAACGCATATTTGTACAAGCATTTACGTTGATAATAGATGAGAGACGGATAACAGTTGGTGAACCATTTATATTTAGGGAGCACTGAAAAAACTTATGTCATTTGAACAATCCTTATCGTTTCTATAGCACATGGAACTAAATCAATGATTTTTAGATACTTTATCAAGATTCTTATACTTGGTTATGAGCCATACTATTAGTTCAAGGATAGGCAATGCTATATAGGTGCTATGTTTAAAGCTATTGCAAGTTCACCTAGTCTGCGAATGGAACAAAGACTTGTGACTAAAGACCAATAAGCTAGCTATTCTAATGCGTCCCAGCCCCTCTAACTAGAGAAAGGGAAGTCCAAGTCTGAAAGGGGGAATAAATATATTCCGCAAGCAGCCAGAAACACAAATGATCTAACAGGCACAAATTAAACGTATATATATACAACATAAAACTGTCCTTAGGAGCTTTACTCAGTTTTTATTTCAATAATTATAATTGCCCATTATTGATTGGTAAATTCTACCGGTTCTCTTAAAAAAATAATATTTTTTTATTTTTAAAATTAACCTTATAGACAGATGTATTCGATCAACAATGATAATGATTCCGTGGATAATATTTCAATGCAAATAAATAAAAATGAACTAACTGATATGCTGTTGGAAAAATCTCAACAGAAAAATGGAGTGGTGAAGGTAATTTAAATGAAATCAGTGTGTGTGTGTGTGAGAGAGAGAGAGAAAGTGTGTGTGTGTGTGTGTAGGAGATTAATACCAAGAGTTGAATCTTGATATTTACAAGTAAACTAAACATTAGGTTAGTTGCAAAATAATGATGTTACAATTGTTTTGCTAATAAATGACCCGGGTACTCCTATTGCTTAGTATTCTTATATGATGACTCTCGACAAGACCCCAAAATCAGAACACGTTGAACAGGAACGAAATTGTATTCAAAATAACTATGGTAGGTGAACAGCGATCAATCGTTAGAAAAACGTTCATATAGTATATGCATAAGAAAGTTTCTAGATGTTTCTCCAATAGTCTGCCAGAGCTGATTGGTTTAGAATTAGCCAATCAGTGTGCGCCGTCATAATCATGCACATAACGTGCCTCAATCCCGTTTCTTTCCCGCTAACAGATGCATTCGTGATAACCCAGAAATTTGTATTTCTAACATTTCGTGACTTAATGTAGGCTATCTACTAAGAGAATAGATGTAATTAACCACATCAAATTAATACTAGTTTAAACCGTAAAGAAGAACAAGCAGTATATTCTATTTAAACTAATGTTAATTTTTATTTTCTGAAGAGGTGACTTACATTAAGTCACGAAACACCAATAATTCAAATATCTACTCATTTAGTTATCATAAATACATCATTATTTTACTGTTGTACTGTTTGTTCATATTTCCTTTCTTATTCTTTTCTTTAACTCACCATTATAGACAATCAAGCAAACAATTCAAAGTGAACTTTGTAAAAGTCAATGTAAAGAGAATGATGGACAGTTATTAATGAAGGCAAGTTTTTAATTATATACAAATTCTGTTTTCCTCTTACAACATTGATTGATTTTCTTTAAGACAGACAACCTTAATAGTGACCACGTCATTATGGTTGAAGAAATAAAAATTGTGCCAATTAATCAGAAAATTAGTGTACGGTTAATCAATAAAATGCGAGGAAGAAAATTTTATGATAAAAATCTTGTTACTCATAAGTAAGACAACTGAAATTAATGAATTTCACAAGTAGTCATTATTGTAGGTCAGTGTTGTAGTGCTATTGAAAATCAGGAAGTATTGGATAACTGTTTCCTCCTAGTATAGGAGTCATCAGCACTTCATATTGTTCTAGTTTGTTTCACTTACTGTTCGGGGTTTTAACACTTGATTAATCTAATTAAGCAAAAGCAAAGATTGTGTTAGAAAATATGTATTTTCAAAATGGTCATAGGTCATGAGTTTTTGTCAGTAGCCGGTTTTAATCAGATATGAGCTTGTTAGTTGTGACTTTGGATGGGTGAATGATAATTTTGTATACTGCAAGACACATGCTTTTATTTTGTTTACTAGGCTACATTGGGACGTGTGATTAGTTTGGTTGTACCCGATATACCATGCACAAGATCAATCTAGTGGTTTTCGAATCATAAACTCAGACGTTTTGCCATCGATTGGCTCACAAAGTTATATTTTTCTATAGTATGAAATATTTTCTGGAGTAGACTAGTCGTTTCATTCTTAAATAGCTGAATAGGTTTTTTTTTAAATGACACTGAGGCCATTAATTCTTATATGTGATTCATAGCCATGCTATCATCTTGAGTTATTTAGAAAGGAATTTAATCAGTTAACTAGTTATTTAATCTAGTTCCTCATATCAATTTACTTACTCTTAGAAGCTTTATTGTGTAAACACCTTTCTTTAGATTCATTTCATCAATTAAAAGTAACTTGATAGATATTGTCATAAAATAGTTTTTAATTGACAAATAAATTTATAGCGCATATGGATAAATTCATTCCAACAATTCTATTGTTATATAGTCGAGATCATGAGTCAATTGAAGCTAGACCACCATGGAAAACCTAGACGGCCGTTTCGTCTTATTGTGGGACTTCTCAGCAGTGCGCATCCGCGATCACGCCTCGCGAGATTCGAACCCAGGACCTACAAGTCTCGCGCCAGAGCACTTAACCGATAGACCCCCTTCTAATAATTCTATTGTTAATAAGTTTTTTATATTAAACAGGAATTCATCTGTGGTTCATTTGTGATTGACATTTAAAACGAATTCTTTTAGTTTGGTTGTTATTTAAAATAACATTTGTAAATGTTAATCAATTAGTATACTGAATGGTTTCAAAAGAAAGAATCATCAAAACTCTTCATATTTATTTCTAGTGGGTAATATATTTGCCCCGAAATACTGACAATAACTCCACTAACTCAATTATTTTCAGTTGCTCACGAAAAATTCCTACCACTTCTTCTATTTAGTTTTTTTTTTATAATTTTGGAAGAACAACTAAAATACCTTAATTTATCCAGCATTATTATTCAGAGTCGGAAACTCTTGTAATTATTTACTGTAAACATAGGACGACAATGCACCATAAATAAATAATCTTAATGTGTGCATAGATAGAACATTTTTGACACAAAACTGGAGTAACAGCTGTTGGTTTGTTTTCTCTCATAATATATTGTTGCTGATGGTATCCGTCCAATGGACATTGTGTATCTTGCGTAGACAATTGTTTATAAATACATTTACTTTTTGGTGATGGTTGTAGTAGTTCTCCACATTTTAGCTCCGTCCAGTAGAGCTGTTTTCACGTTCGTATTAAAGATCCTGACTTCGATGTTGACTGACAGCTGTTTTGAGTTCTATGTATTTTTCAGTTGTAGGAATGCTGCTATTACTTTGCCAATCCTTTTCTTCACATCTGCATCAAATCCTCTCTGTTTATCAATGATTCTGCCCAGGTACTTAAATATTCTCACCTCTTTCAGATCTTCATCAATTGTTGGTGTGTATGAGATAGAAGAGCTAGGTCATCTGCGAATTCCAGATCGTCTAGCTGCATCCAATATGTTCACTGTATTCCGTGATTTTTCTGAGATGCGAAGGTCTTCATAATTCAGTCGACCACCACAAGAAAGGGCGAGAGTATGCAGCTTTGTCTGATACCGGTCTTTATTTAGAACTCATCTCTCATCTGTTCCTCATGCACGACTTCGCAGTGTATAAAATCCGTTTGATGTTGATGATCATCTCAGATAAAACATAGCGTCGAAGAAGGTTTTATTAGGTTCCCCTGTCCTTGTTATCAAATATAAATATACTGAATCTTCAGAGAATGAAATTCAGATCAAAGGTAACACTTCACATTTTAACAATATCATCTAATAACTGCTCACTATTGCTAAATGAATAGATTGACTATATTTTATAATTTTTTTACACATTTTGTCTAATATATCATATTTTGTGTATTTATTTCAGATTGATTCTAATGCTACTCGTGATATACCTACAAAAAATCTCATTAACCCTAAAATTCCTCATGAAATAAAACCAAGTTCTTCTGATACTGTGACATCATCATCATCATCATCATGTAATCACATATTAAATCTCAATAACTCGGAAACTATTCATCAGCAAAAATATGACAATACTGTAAGACCAACTGAAGGTGAATTAATCGAAAAACAAGCATTTCTACGAAAACAACGTGATCTACTGATCGAAATGCGTCAGAAAAAACGTGAAAAGCTATTTGCTGATCATGTACAAACTTTAACAGATAAGATTATTGTATATACTAATAATGTAAGTTGATTGTGATAATTTATCAAACAAAATAATTGAAATTTTCGTCTTTAATCTATTCAATAAATGCATATGCGCCTCACAAATCTCATTTGATTTGTGTGAGGGCTGTGATACTGCACAGGTGCCCAAACTGAAGCAGGTGGTTTTCTTAGGTGGCCATACTCGGAGCCTTTGACCTGAAGGTCTGGTCCACAAGGCAGTGGAACATCGTCAGGAGATGCAGTCCCATGGTAGCCGGTGACCAATAGCTGGTTCATTCGCCATTTGTTCCTTCAGGATACGGGAGCTCATGTGCACCATTGGTTTGGAATCAGGGTTTTCCAACTCCCCTAGGTGGATGCTTCATATCCACCGACCCGGTTATAGCGCCGGACATTGGCTTTTCGTCCTCTCAATTTCGTACACAACACCCGTGGTGTGAGAAGGCAGTGAGTAGGACTTCCCAGACAGAGGCTATGTACGCGTGGTCATGTGAGAGGATTTGGAGAGGGAGAGTGGACTCTCCCCGGGGCATTCGGGGGCAATAAATACATGAACTATACTACGAAAGCTTTTGTGAAATAGTCTCCGGAAATTTATTTAATACTGATAACTGTTTAAAAAGATTGTATTATAAAGAAGAACAACACTTTTCATGTAGATAATTGAATTTGTGTAATTACTATCAAAACTAACGACTCTCACTAACTTTCTCTGTTGATGAGAACACCGAACTTTAGCATTTCTGTTTTTGGATCATTGAATTACCATTCATCTAGTGTTTGATCAGTTGAAATTAAGGAGATAAGGTTAATTTGCCCTAAACATTATGAAATAATTTTTTTTAACCATCGGTCATGAATTTAATAAATAAATTAATAGTATAAATTCAGTAGTTTTAGTAATTATATTAAAATGTCATTTCGACTCTGTTAGAGAAAAGGTAGGTACGTGACTGTCTTACTGAGATACTCTCTTCAGTGATATATATTAAACTAATTACCCTTATTCTTTGGGTTATGAGCTTCTCTTCCATTTATGAAACCATTCCACTTTAATTCACATATGTATTGTGTGACACATCGTTATCTCGTGCCCCCCCTGTACCAATGTTTATGTGTTAAAATAATAATAATTCACTGAGGTAGATGAACTGGATCTTAAATTTATTCTCTCGGGAATTCATGTCATTATCGATAAGTTTTCTCGTTCAGCACGTGACTGGTCAGTTTGAATCAAACACATCGTCATTCAGGTTGTAGAATCAGTACATATTTAATTACCGTATGATTCTTTCTTTTTAATTAATGAATACTTTCTCCGGTGATTGCGACATTGCATGGGATTCTATTCCAATAGCGATGATTGAACAGAAAGAAAGCTGGCTAATAAGCGCAAATATATTTCCAGTGCTTAAACGGATAAGTATACAAAGCTTTCACGCTTGAAAGTATTATGTTACTCTGTCTTGACTAGTAAATTATAAGCCGCGTTCACCCATAAACCTCCATGTAGAAAGATCACCAGGTCTTGCGGTAAAAGCTTCAAATTTCTGTAGTTAAATGATAATTTTTGATTTCTTTGAGTTTCCATACTAGCCGCTAAATCTGAGCTCAATCTAACATGAGATCATGGAAGAATTCTTTTGAAAAGTTACAAACTGAGAGAAAACAGCTGTCCAGTGCTGTTTGCCACTCAACTATAAGGACAAAACAAGTTACTATCAAATTATGCTAATCTTTAACAAAGTGTTTTGTAACTTAATTGATTTTAATTTTATCCTACCATTTATTTTAGAGAGATTGTAATTTAATTGGTAACGACGAACATGATAAAGTTATGGAGAAACGTCGTAAGTTATATGAAAAACTAAAGATTGAAGTGATTAATAAAAGTGGTTTTGATCAGACAAAAAAATGAATTGGTTTAATTTCCTTGATCTTATGATAATCAATCGAATCTTGGATGGATGTACATATACACTTTTGAATAATGAATGTGAATATCAGACGTGTCAGTTAGATTTGAATATCGATTCATGGGAAGTAATCCAGATGGTGAGGAAATTTCAACATATGAAGATCGAAATAGTTTGTGTGGATCCCAGTTTGTTTACATTTTGGCGCACCATTCTTTTATAAATGCACGATATGTAAAAACACTGATTCCTTTCATTTCAATGGCATCGTTGTCGTTTGTTCTGTGAAATACTTATGTAATATTTACATATAACACCTCATTTTCTCAGCACATTTTTTACGAAAACAAAGATATTTGATAATTCTTCACAATAATAAACTACATGTAGTTTACAGTAATAAATATCGTTATTACAGCAACAGAACTTTTGGTATTCATTTTTAATGATAAAAACCATTGTATTATATCCGAAATTGTAAACTCTAACATGGTTGAAAGAGAAATACTTTCTAGATCTAGCATGCAGAGTCCAGGTAGATTCAACGTCTAAATAAGAATTTATTGATAGTAACTGAAACTCTGTCGAGATAATGTTTTCCATCACAATCACGAGATTAAGCACTACCAACCATCAGTATTAAGGTTTCAGTCAGTCACAACGTAGAACTTCGTACGTACGTACATCAGTTCGAGTTGCCATACCACATTAGCTTAGAGATGCAGTTGTCGATTCAAATCCCATAGTGGTAGAAGTAGTAAGAGTATAAGCAATAGTGTGAAAGATCAGGGTTTGGAGATGTTATTCAAGGAGTATAATCCAGTGAAATAAATTTAGAAAGAGGGAAGGTAAAGGGACTTGGAGAATTCAGAAGATTAGAATTTGGGTGACCACAAAGAGTGGATGCACCTTCACCATTGCAAACGATTTTGAGCCATGTCATTCAAGGTCTCCAACCATCGATTGCTAACATCTCGCAGATTCCAACCAGGTAGTCTACACCTACCAACATGGCCCAGTCCACTTGTCAGCGACTTCATGGATTTATGCCATGTTTTGGTCGGGCCGCCCCTAGCTTTCTTCCAACTTCTACACTATAAAGCATTGCACGTCGGGGCAGTCGGTGGTTGGGCATACGTAACACGTGTCCCAGCCATCTCAACTGATGACGTTTCACTACTTCATCAATCGATTTGACATCCTTACCTGGTGCCCGTTTCCTAACAACTGCATTACTTACCCGGTGGTACCAGGATATACGAGCAATGCTTCGAAGACACCTATGATCGAACACTAGTAGCCTACGAATACCCTCTACTCTTATCGATCATGTTTCACTGCCATAAAGTAGGACGGAACGAACTGTTGCACAGTAAACCCGTACTTTGGTTGCTAGACGGATATCTCGCCTACGCCATAAATGACGCCAGTTGGCGAAAGCTAGACGAGCCTTCTGTATCCGTGCTGGGATTTCCTCACATACCAGACCACAAGGGCTGATGAGACTCCCAAGATAAGTGAAGCGGTCAACACGCTCAACTACTTCACTCCCTATCATTAGTTCAGGTGTCGATGCAACCCAATCCTGAAGTAACATTTTGCACTTCGAGGGAGAGAATCGCATCCCGAACATGCCTGCATAAAACTATGTCATCGGTAAGTCAACAAGTGAATCTCCTGGTAGAAGTACAAACCCTCCAAGTTTAGGTGAGGAAAGTGTTATATCTAAAAGCATGTCAACGACAAAGTTAAACAAGAATGGGGAGAGTGAACAGCCCTGACGAACAGCACTTGAGGTAATCAATTCTGATGACAGTTCGCCATAGTCTCTAACTCGACCAGTTGTTTGTTCGAGTATACAGCCTTTATGAGGTTAATGTACTTCTTTGGTACTCCTTTCAGGGACAAGCACTGCCACGGAACCTCACGTTCGACAGAGTCAAATGCCGCCTTAAGGTCAAGAAATACTACGTTTTTGGGACGTCTGAATGTATGTCTGTGTTTTAAGACCTGACGTAGGGTGAATATCTGGTCTATACGACCACGTCCAGGTGTGGCGCATATATATCTGGTGCCAACCTGTACCAATGTTTATGTGCTAAAATAAATAAATAAGGTCGAAAACCAGCCTGGTTTTCCCTAGTTTACTCTTCACGAGCTTTGGTTAGGCGTCCAAGTATTATTGAAGTCACTATATTAGTCAATCTAGTCCCTCTGTAATTGCCAGAAGAGGATTTTTGTATCTTCTCATAGATTGACACAATCAGCGATGGGACCAGTCAGGTGGGATTACGTTCGGGTCCCAGATTCTACCTAAGACCTCAGTCAATCTCGCTGCTAGTATTGTTCCGCCATCTCTAAAAAGCCCAGAAGTAAACCTATCGAGACATGCTGCTCTCCCTCGCTAAGATTCCGTATAGCTTTTTCAACCTCGTGGATTTATATTAACTTGCCATTCAGGACGACAGGGGATTGCGGGAACCTGAAGTGTGGCTGAAGGCCAGTTGAACTGATCTCTAAAGTGCTCTGCCAATCGATCCAATCTCCTGGGTTGAGAGTGAATGATATGTCCATCTGTTACCGAGATAGTTTCTCTGATAGTTGAGTTCCTAATACCGGTTTCTTTAACAAGTTTGAATAGTTGTCTGCTGTTACCTGTTGCCACTGCTTTTTCCATCTCTCTTGCTTTCGCTACCCACCAGTGTTCACGATCATTGCGTAGGCTTCTTATTAGCTTGCGCTTAAGTTGACGCAGCACACATCGATGGTGTAAGATTCTAGAGTCCTAGCTAAGGAAGCCTGTTGTCCTATTTGGCACAATGTTCGGACATTAAAAGTTCCTATATGTAGTTTAGAGCGTGGTTTCAGGAGACCAGGAATAACGTTCTATGTACTCGAATCGTTTGCCCTAGCGGTGCGAAATGATAAAAGGACGTGGGAAGGGTTAGTCGTGGAGATAACAGAGTTATTAAGTGTAGGAAGGATTTGGATGTGACCAACTTGGTCTCGTGTGCGGTTACGGGTATGAGGGCTAATATCACTTCCCGGCTGCCCACACCGTGGAAGGGTATTTCTTGAGGGACCTGAAAAAGAAGTTGGATTAGTGTTGGTCTTAACGACCTGGGAGCGTGACCGCAGTGCCCAAGGGATAACTGCTTGAGGCCAGTCACGCACGGCCTTTTTGTGGAGGATTTTTGACGTGTTAGCTCCGTTCTTTAAAAGTCCTTACCGCCGGAGACGTAAATCCGTGGGATAAGGCGAGGTGTGCATTTTTAGGGTCGACCTTTTCTAACCCCACCCCTCCTTGTGGGACGGCAGCATCGCTGTTATGCTGGTTGTCTGAAGGAAACACCTTACTGCCGTCACACCTCTGTACAGTCAGCAGTATGACTTCGCCTTCGAACTTTGGGATTGCTGCTTTCAGCCAATATTTCAGCCAATATAGCTTGGTTGAGTCATCACGATAGGCAAGCCCGACCACCAGCAACTGGGGTCGGGGTATTGATGTTTCCTGGAGTCCAAGACAAAGAGATAACACAAGAGCTGCAATGAGGCCAAAGTATCATACCCAGAAATATAAACAACCTGAACTCAAACATGAATAAATGAAATATACCAAAAGTTAGTTAGAGTAATAATCGCGATAATAGTATCGGTAGATTAAATACTTTAAGGTTCTCCAGCAACACTTACTGAAATCTTAAATGTGATGCTGAGTACCAATCTGGTATTATTTGCTAGCCAATATATGTGCAGTCCTCACTTAGTCGAGGGCGATGTTTGGAAAAACACTGATTTTATTTATTGTTCCAGTGTCGGAATGCAGCGTATTAGAAAGTGAGGCAGTCTTTGACAGGGGGCAGTGGGACAAATGCTGTACATTGCTGAAAACGATATCATTTCGGCGAGGCTACACCACCTGTACGAGAGCGAAAATGTTTCGAAAGGTAAGACTCCCCTATTGAGGGTAACTCTAGACACACCATGCGTTATTGAGGAGATTTTTCTGACATACTAGAGATCATGGGTTTAGTGATCCTTTCAAATTGAAGTCAGAAACAAAGAATCAAGGGCCGGGAGAAATCCTGCCTGATCAACGCACCCAAGAACTAATCAAAATGATTGTTCATCAAGTGCTTGGGCTAGTATGTGGTGGTCAGGATGAAGATCACAAAGACGACAGGTAACAGTGCTCTTAGCTATGACGTTGTATCGGCCTTCATACCACCAAGATAATTGAAGTGTCCAGATAAAGGCTGTTGTAGATGGACTCCAGGTGACGAGACAAATCATGAATTGCATTAGTAGCGACGTAAGAGGCAAACTAAGAGAAATCAAAAGGGCTGTACACTAAGGAGAGAACAACTGGGCACGTCTGCAATTAGTCACATTAAAAGTTGCCCCTGTTTACAGTGCACTCTCAGCCTAAGTGAACATTTCCACCTCAGTAAGTAGCTTCAAGAGGAGACTTGACAAGCATGTACTCACTCATGAGCTACTGTCTCCCTTCTAATCCAGCTGGATCTGATAAATGTCTCATAAATTACCACAGATATCATTTCTTCATAACCCGTCAGTCTCGCTTATTGTCATATCAATTTCCCATTTTATTCCTACAGTTCCTTCATCCGACACATTACCGATCAATTAACTTTGGTCTTAAAACAGTCATCCTCCCTTAGCAAACAAGTTTGTACACTTTTTATATAACAGTTAAGAGTATTCCTGCCCAGACAAGTGATAGCTGCTGGTACCCAGTAACCCTACTGCCCTAAGACAAATGCACTAACTGAACTTACGTGATATTCAAATCCATAAATAACTGCCGAACTGACTACAATTAGTGAGGTCGACTGGCTAGAAACGTCTGAAACAGTCAGATTTAAAGCAGGTAGAACGAGATGAGTACAAGGAACGAATTATAGATTGAACTCGTAATTAGTGCTCGACCAAGTACGAAAGAATTATCAGTTAGTACAAGTACCACACATTATCAAATATA